CATGGTGGCTCACAACCATCTGTAATGAGATCTGGTGCCCTCTTCTGGCCTGCAGTCATACATGCTATATACATAATAAAATAAATAAACCTTAAACAACAACAACATATATCTCTATCTATCTATCTCTCTCTATATATATAGAGAGATAGATATAGATATCATCAACAAATATGCCAACCTTGTTACTCCTTAAAGGGGTTTCAAGTAAGTAAATAACCCAACATTCTAAGTGCAGGAAAAATGTGCCCTAAGGTTACATCACCCTGACATCTGAGCTGTAAACAAAGGAAACATTTGGTCCTCAACAGGTCGATTCAATACGCCTGCGCCATCAAACTCTCCCTTACATTTAAGATGTTGTTGAGTATGTCATTTCTTCAGGAGAGTGAGTTGTAACGTATGCTAAGTGTACAATCTTTTAAATTTAAATTTCATACCTATAACAAGAGAACAAAAAGTGTGTATTTAGGACTTGATATACCCTTGTCAAGTTCTTTTCTATACTTCTTAAGATCATTATGTTACTGACTCTGAAAAGTAATGTAATCTGGTAGCAACCTCGTAATTTAAATCAAGGCATTTGCATAAAATAAATAAGGGCAGGGGCTTCAAGACGGCTCAGCAAGTAAAAAGGAAGCCAAGGCTGAGGACCTAAGTTAGAGACTCCTCAGGATCCCTAAGGTAGGAGAAAACAGACTTCCCCAAATTTATCTCCTAATCTAGACACACTAAGTAAATTAATAAACGTAAAGACATGGGCTTGGGATGTAGATCAGTTGGGTAGATTGATGGCCTAATGCTCACAAAGCCCTGGGTTTGATCTCTAACATCCCAGGAAACAGACATAGTGGCCTTCATCTGTGACCCCAGCATGTGGGAGGGGGTGGCAGGAGAGTCAGAAGTTCAAGGTCATCCTGACCTACAGTGAGAGTTCTAGTTGTGAATTAGAATTCCTAAAAAGGCTGTGTGTTGGGTGCTCATGTTTAATCCTGGCATTACAGGCAGATCTCATTCAGCATTCAAGGCTTGCCTGGTCTACACAGTAAGTTCCAGGACAACCAGGGCTATGTAGACAAATCCTGTCTTAAAAAACAAACAAACAAGAAAATAGATTGCCTGAAATCTACTTAAATAAACTGTGTCTTCAAAGACTCCCCATCTAGCCGGGCAGTGGTGGCACAAGCCTTTAATCCCAGCACTCGGGAGGCAGAGCCAGGCGGATCTCTTTGAGTTCGAGGCCAGCCTGGGCTACAAGAGTGAGTTCCAGGAAAGGCACCAAGCTACACAGAGAAACCCTGTCTCGAAAAACCAGAAAAAAAAAAAAAAAAAAAGACTCCCCATCTATATTGGAACGTTGGTTGGCTTGGCTTGATCTTGTTCAAATCTTGTGCAGGAATATTAGTCAGGGTTCTCTAAAGGAACAAAGTTTTGTTTATATATTCTCTATATTCTCTCTTTATGTATAGGAGGTTGTCTCACCCTGGAGAAGCCAAGAGTTATTGTTCAGTAGTTGTTCAGTCTACAAGGCTGCATATCTCAGCAGTCCCTTTCTGGCCCTGGAGGACTGAAGGATTCTTGGAGAGCTTCAGGTCTTCAGTCTACATTGGAATCCCAAAGAAGTTGGTCCTAATATTTGTGGGTGTTTTTGTTTTGTTTTGAGACGGGGGTTTTTCTATGTAGCCCTGGCAGGCCTGGATCTCACTATGTAAACCAAGATGACCTCAAATTCACAGAGATCTGCCTGCTTCTGCCTCCTGACTGATGGGATTAGAGGTGTTATACTACTTTGTCTGGTTTGGGTATTTTTGTTTTGTAGACAGGGTCACAGAAATCTGCTTCCCGAGCCTGGCTCAGCCCTCACTCGGAACTGCAGAGCCATCTCTCCATTCTCTTTTTAAACAGGGGTGGTGCTTGTAGCTCAAGCTGGCCTTGAATTTGTGGCCGTCTTCCTGCCCTAGCCTCCCAAATGCTAGGATGACAGGTGTGTACCATCATACCTGACTCAGCAATGAGACTTTTAAAAACTTCACCGATTGACTCAACTACAGATTGGGGTACAGGGACTTGAAAGATCCCAGGAGGCCACCAACTTTGAGACGGCACTACCATCATGGGTAAACAGTCTCAGCTACACATTGTACCAGCGTTAAGTTCTGGCCTCACAGGCCAAGGCCTGCACTTCAGCCTTGACTCTGTTATTGCTGCCTGACCTGAAGTGACTGTCAACAACCATGTCTTCATCTGTTATGTGGGAGCAGGAAAAGGACCAGCAGGTCTTTAAAAAATTAAGCCAGGCTACGCCTTTAATCCTAGCACGCGGGAGCCAGAGGCACTCAGATCTCTGTGAGTTGGATGCCGGTCAAAGCTACATAGTGAGACCCTGTCTCAAACAACACCAGAAAACTTGTATGTTTGTTCAGTGCATGTGTGGGAAGTCAGACACACTTGCAAGTGTTCGTTCTCCTTGAACTAAGTGTGTCCTAGGGATTAAACTCCTGTCATTGATGACAAGTACCTTTGTCCCCTGAGCACCCTCTCTAGTCTACGACTAGCATTTAAAATTTTTTTTTGGCCAGGCGGTGGTGGCGCACGCCTTTAGTCCTAGTTCTTGGGAGGCAGAGGCAGGCGGATTTCTGAGAGTTCGAGGCCAGCTTGGTTTACAGAGTGAGTTCCAGGACAGGCTGCAAAGCTACACAGAGAAACTCTGTCTCGAAAACAAACAAACAAACAAACAAATTGAGGTAGACTTGGTATGTAACCTAAGATGGCTTTGAACTCACTAGTCAGCTCTGTTATTGGGGGCTAGAAGAAAATTTAGGATGGAGTTTCAGAGAGACAGGAGGTTGAGCCCCAGGATGAAGCAGTGCCAAGCATAAGGGAGAGGCAAAACCAGCCACACAGGCAAAGCTGGAGACCCGGAGATTCAGGGAACTAAGACGGCGTGTGTGTGTGTGTGTGTGTGTGTGTGTGTGTGTGTGTGTGTGTGTGTGTGTATGTGTGTGGTTAGTTCTTTGATTTGAGAGGTTTGAGGCTAGCTTGGGCAACAGAGCAGACTCCATCTATTTAAAAAAAAAAAAAAGGCAGTGGTTGGGAAAGGGACAAGAGCAAAGGGAAGTCAAGGAAATGGTAGCTGGATGCATCCAGAACCCACCAAAGCAGAGACAATGATTCTCACCAAAGGCAAAGCCAGATAGAACAGGAGTGTGAAGCTCTCACACTCACTGATTTCACCTCCCACCCCCAGCCCCAGACAGGGCTTCTTCGTGCAGCCTTCGCTGTCCTGGAACTTGACCTGGAATTCAGAGATCTCCCTGCCTCTGCCGCCCCCCTCCCCCAAACCAGCCAGTGCTGGGGTTGAAGGTGTGTGCCACCACCACCTGGCACATTTACTTTATTTGAGATACACTCACTTTCATGTATGTGTACACGGATGGGTGTGTATGTGGGACTCAGAGGACAACCTTTACCGTGTGGGTTCTGGAGGGTGAACCCAGGGTGACGGGCTTGGCAGCAAGCACTCATCCCCCTCACTGAGTGATCTCGCTGGCCCTTAAAGGCAGATCTGTTACCCCTAGGCTTATCTAAGAAGAGAGATGAGAAGCAATTGAAACCTTCACGAGAATTCATTCATTCATTCATTCATTCATTCATTCATTCATTCATTCATTCAGTGCTTTCGCTATACTCCGCAAGCTGAGAGGTGGGAAGGTGGTCATGAAATGCCCAGGTGCCAGTGATTAAGTCTTTAGAAAGGGTCTGAAATCAGTAAAGAAAGAACCGAAGAATCACAGCTCTTCCTGGGCCACCAGGGCCACCAGTGCTGCCTGTACCTCCTCTGCCTGAGTTTGGGGCAGCAGACAGTCCTGAATGAGGGCCACTGCAGCTGCCTCTGTCAAGCTGCCGAAGTCCTGGGGTGTTTTAACCGGCAGGTGGCCGGCCAGCTCACAGAGTGCAACGTTGAAAGCCCCGCTTTCCTTAATTCCGAAGCTGGACTTCCGGGCCCACAGAATGACTCGGATCCCAGTGAGGCCTGAGGAAGAGGATGCCTGCCCAGGTGGAGCTCCCCGGGTCACAAATAAGTTATGTGCAATCTCGTGGTCACTCAGATAGTCAGTGGCCCGGCATACCCTGCTAATCAAGGCTTCCAAGTCAGGCCCTGGCCCACTAGCGTAAAAGAGGAAGCCAGGAGCTGGGAGCGACTGCAGCAGATGTAGACAGCCCTTTGGATCCAGAGGTGTGCTTGGGGCGCCCTCCACAGGCAGTGGGTGGGCCAGGTAGTAGCCATGCAGGTGCAGATGGTTCACAGAGGCCAAAGCTCCCAGGCTGTTGAAGCCTACGCGGAAGCCTGGGTGGGAGCTCAGAAGCACAGCTTCAAGCCCGGCCCGCAGCACCCCGGGCAGCAGGCGCTGGGGGAGGCCACGAGCTGGCTCAGGCACCAGCAGCACATGGCCCCACTCCAGGGGGCTGACATTGATCACCACAAGGACGTCCTCTTGCTTTGGGGCAGCTGGGCCGCTAGGCTCCCGTTGCAAACGGAAAAGGACTTCTCCAGGTCGGATTTTATTGAAGTTAAACTGTTCAGGGTCAAACTCCTGCCTTACACTTTTGATATTCTGAGGGCGCCTCCTCTGTACTCCTCGCTCTATATTCAGCTGAGCTACAAACCCCACAGAACCAGGGAGGATTTGGGTCTGCAGATCTTCTAGGCGGTATCGAAACAGGCCCAGTTCCACTCGCTGTATCCACGCAGAGCAGAGGGCAGAGTCAAAGCGGGACCGTGGCAGTTCGTCCAGGGTGCTGGGTGCATTCCTTGGCCACTGAATTCCCTTCCCTACGAGGTCCTTCTGTCCATAAACAAAGTCTGGGATGTCTCGTCCTTCCCAGTCCTCAGGGTTTGGAGGTAGCAGATAGGAAGGTTCCTGTGAATCACGTGGAACAGCCATGAAGGCCACCTGAAACAATCAGAGATGAAGAGTGCATAAGTACGAGGAGAGCAGCCCATTCCCAGAGGTCTGCACAATCACGGCCCAGCCCAGAGATGACAACGATGATGATGATGATGATGATTTATTTATTGGGTTTTTGAGACAGGATTTCTCTGTGTAGCCCTGGCTGTCCTGGAACTCTCTCTGTAGCCCAGGCTGGCCTGGAACTTGCAGATCCACCTGCCTCTGCCTCCCGAGTGTTGGGATCAAAGGCGCACCACCATAGCACAGCAAGAGATTATTTTTGAATCATCTTTTTTTTCCCCCTAGTTATAAAACTGATAGGAATCTGTTGACATGCCTCAGAAAATTGAGGAAGTCAAGCATTTGCTGCTCACAGGCAAAAGGATGCCAAGTCAGTCAGCTCAAGTCAGTGCAGTGAAAGGTTTGATGCTGCAGGATTACAGCCTGGTCATCATAAACAAGGAGAAGGTAGAGGAGCTGAAGGTGTCCCTTTCCCCTGGTTTGGAAGCAAAGGAGCTAAAATGAACCAGGTCCCTCATTTGGATGCATTAAAAATCCTGAAAAACCAAAGAAAATAAAAAATAAAAGTAAGGGATAATATGTGCCCTTGGTAAAATATTTAGAAAACATAGACATTGTTCATAATTCCATCATCTGCAAATGAGGATGTTTTTACTGAATTAAAAATATAGCCAGGCATAGCGGTGCATGCCTTCAATCCCAGCACTTGGGAGGCAGAGGCGGATCTCTGTGAACAGCACCCCCATACTTGGCTTAGTTGGTAAAGCACCCTCCTTGCAAACGTGAAGAACTGAGTTTGAATCCCCAGAAGCCAAGTATAGCTGAGTGTGCTACATGGCTGTAATTTCAGTGTTCCTGCCCTGAGATAGAAGGTGGAGACCGACACCCAAAGTTGTCCTATGATCTCTACATGTGTGGCAGGTGTGTGCGTGCGCGTGCACACACACGCACGCACGGACGGATGCACACACGCACGCACGCGCACGCACACCATACACAAACACCAAATAAACTCAACACTCTATGTGTGTGTGTATGTGTATGTATGTATGTATATACACACACATAATTTAAAATTTTTGAGGGCTAGGGGTGTAGACCTGTAGTCAAATTTTTCTTTGGGCTACCAGCTCACAAATAAGGACATGGAGACATAATTAATTATGAAAGCTTGGCCTTAGCTTAGGCTTGTCCCCCTAGCTCTTATACCTTAAATTAACCCATTAATTTTAATCTATGTTCTGTCGGGTGGCTTGTTACCTCATCTCTCCATACTGCTCATGTTGCTTCCTCCAAGTCTGGTTGGTGATTCCACCTCTTCTCAGAGTTCTCTCTTTGCTTTGAAGGCAAATACCTATCCCTCCTGCCTAGCTATTGGTCGTCAGCTTTTATGACATCAATCACAGCAATACATTTTCACACAGTGTACAAATATCCCACAACATAGTTCACTCAGGTGGTAGACTACCTGCCTAGCCTTGGGTTTGATCCCCGGGACTAAATAATCTGGGTGTGGTAGCTCCTGCCTGTGACCCCAGCACTTGGGAGGTGAAGACAGGCAGATCAGAAGTTCAGCATTGACTACACAGTGAATCTGAGGCCAGCCTGAGCTACATGAGATCCTTTCTCAAAAATAAAAATCAGACTGAGTCAGAGGTGGTGACACACACCTGTGACCCCAGCATTTGTGAGGCTGTCAGGACTAACTCTATGTCCAAAACAGCCTACACAGTAAGAATCTGCATGTTAATACCAATGACAAGATTAAAACCAATACCATAGTTTGAGCCAAATTTGAAGCAAGCCTGATTTTTATTGGGGTGCACCCAAGAGCTGACCAGTGACTGATTCCCAAGTTGGTTTAAATAGAGCAGCCCCGAATCCACCTCTTGGGCCCCTTTTAAGGAGTAAAATCACTAGTGGTAGTTTCACAGAAGGGAGACAATGGGGCTATAAGGAAATTAAAAAAAAAAAAAAAAACTTTAAAAAACATCATATGATCACTTACCATGTGATTAGGAGGGGTCAGAGAGAGTTAGGGAGGGTCAGGGTCAGGGTCTAAAGAATCAAGGTCATGGGTTGGGGAAGGTCAGGTTCCAGGAAACAAGAGCTACTCAACTCACACAGTAAATAGAAACTTATTTTTGGAAATACAGCATAATGGCTCCTGCCTTCAAAACAGAGTCTGGCAGGTTCCTCTTGCAGGAGAGAAAGAAACAGCGGACAATAAGGGGGGAGGGAGGGAGACAGAGAGAGACCCGCTTCAGCCTAAGTTTGTTCTCCCTCATCTTTGCTGGTCCACACATTCATCCTGGCAAACCAGAAGAAAATACACAAACAAAATGATACATAGAAGTCAACCTAAGGTGTTGTAGAACATTATTTTGTGTGTTACTTTTGTTTATGTTACATTTGTTTAACTCTGTGAAGCTGTGTTACTGTGCCTAAAACACCTGACTGTCTGATAAAGAACAGAACAGCCAATAGCAAGGCAGGAAAGAGAAATAGGCGGGGCTGGCAGGCAGAGAGGATAAATGAAAAAAGAAGTAGCCAAAGAAGGAGGACTTCAGGAGCCAGCCACCCAGCCAGACATGGAGTAAGAAGGAAAGAAAAGGTATACAGAAATAGAGAAAGGTAAAAGCCCCAAGGCAAAAGACAGATGGGGATAATTTAAAGTTAAGGAAAGCTGGCTAGAAACTAGCCAAGTTAAGGTCGAGCATTTATAATAAAGAATTAAGCCTCCGTGCGTAATTTATTTGGGAGCTGGGTGGCTGATCCCCAGCACCATCACCGCCTCGCTTAAAAGTCTTTAAAGAGAGAAGTAAAGTAATATAAAAAAGAATAAACCATGTAGAAACAGGAAATACATAGGGAGTCTGGATCCTGTATGTTATTGAGTTGATTTTGAATTTTAGGAGACATGGAATTGTGAACTGGACTGCTAAATTGAATGAATCTAGATACTTTAGGAATGCCTTAACTTGAAAAAGGAAAAAAATATATTTGTCAAATGGAAGTAAAAAATGCTTTGGAATTTTGTTCCCACAGGAGATGAGAGGTTGTGGATTCCTTCAGGGTTAACAGGGATCAGGTTTGATCAGGTGAGACCTCCTGAATCTTGACAGGTTGAAGCACGAATCCTAACTGGTCTTAATCAAAACCTGGAGCCAGATATTGGGGTAAATGCTGAAAGATCAGAGAGACAAAGGAATAAGCCACAGCCATTTCTCACCTCACCAACTCCTCAGTCGAAAAGGACTGACTCCTGTCTCCTCCCGCCTTATAGTCCTTTTTCAACCCAGCCATATCACTTCTTATCTCGGCCTCCCTAGTGCTGGGATTAAAGGCATGTGTGCCTCCCAAGTACTGGGAACAAAGGTGTGAGATTCCAAGTGCTGGGATTAAGGTGTGTGCCACCACTGCTTGGCCTCTATGGCTAACTAGTGGTTTAGCTCTGCATTCTGATCTCCAGGCAAGCTTTATTTGTTAAAGCACAAACAAAAATATCACCACAACAGGTGATATCTATCAGCAAAGGTTACTGCTGGTCTTCCCAGGACTTGGCCATTATCTTAAATGTTCTCAGAGATCCCTAAAAAAGATACCTTCACCCACAGACAGCAGGAAGCAGTTTGGAGAACAAGACGTCCACATTTCCAAGAGGGGCGTGGGGGGCTTTTGGTTATTTGGTGGGTTATGGATGTTTGTTATCATTTAGGAGAATATAGTATATTGATACAAATTTAAAGTTATTTTTGTTATACTGTGTATATGTTTCTACTTTTGTTTAAAGGACTTTTGTATATTGATACAAATTTAAGGTCATTTTTGTTACAACATATTGTATATATGTTTTTGCTCTTGTTTAAGGTATTGTACATATGCAGTTCATTTGGAAATATAGGGTGAAGTTCTAGTTTTTGAAAGCTATTATTATTAACCTATATAGGACAATCAAGAAACATAGGTCAGGGCTGGAGAGATGGCTCAGAGGTTAAGAGCACTGGCTGCTCTTCCAGAGGTCCTGAGTTCAATTCCACATGATCGCTCAAAACCATCTATAATTTGATCTGGTGCCCTCTTCACTGAGAAGTCTGCCTGATACTCTAGGCCTATAGGCTGAAGATGGATGCCTCAATGTTGCAGAGGAACTTTGGGTGGCTGTCCAGGCAAAAAAATGTCTCTGTTGTTAGGTAATATTACATCCTTATGGGTCTTTGATGGAGTTGAAGACTAGATAGTTATACTTGTAGTTTTCCTTAGTTATGACAGAAAGTAAGTTAGGTATAAAAAACTTTGGATTCGCCGGGCGGTGGTGGCGCACGCCTTTAATCCCAGCACTTGGGAGGCAGAGGCAGGAAGATCTCTGTGAGTTCGAGGCCAGCCTGGGCTACCAAGTGAGTTCCAGGAAAGGGGCAAAGCTACGCAGAGAAACCCTGTCTTGAAAAGCAAAAAACAAAAAACAAAAAACAAAAAAACAAAAAAACAAAACAAAACAAAACAAAAACTTTGGATTCATGAGCTGGAGAGATGGCTCAGCAGTTAGGAGCACTGGCTGCTCTTCCAGAGGACCCTGGTTTAATTCCCAGCACCCACATGGCAGCTCACAACTGTCTGTAACTCCAATTCCAGGGGATCTGACACCTTCACACCAATGCACATAAAATAAATTTGAATATATTATTTAAAAAAAAACCTTTGGATTCACTAAGATAGGGTAGATAATGCATTATTTTCTCTGAATATGCTAACTACAAATGGACAGAATATTGTAAATTCTTACTTGATAACTTTTTTTGTTGTGTATAGTTTTTTTAAAGATGTATTTATTTATTATGTATACAGTATTCTGCCTGCATGTATGCCTGCACTCCAGAAGAGGGCACCAGATCTCATTATAGATGGTTGTATGCCACCATGTGGTTGCTGGGAATTGAACTCATGACCTCTGGAAGAATAGCCAGTGCTCTTAACCTCTGAGCCATCTCTCCAGCCCTGTTGTGTATAGTTTCACTACATTAAAGTTAAAACCTTTCTTATTCAGACAAAAAGGAAATGCTGTAGAATATTATTTTAAGGTGTGTTACTTTGTTTATGTTGCATTTGTTTAACTCTGTGAAGCTGTGTTATTTTGCCGGTCTAAACAACTGACAGTCTAGTAAAAAGCTGAATGGCCAATAGCAAGGCAGGAGAAAGGATAGGCGGGGCTGGTGGGCAGAGAGAATAGATAGAAGGAGAAATCTAGGAGGAAAGAGGAAGGAGCAAGAGAAGGAAGAGGACGCAAGGGGCCAGCCACCCAGCTACACAACCAGCAATGGAGTCAGAAAGAAAGGTATACAGAAATAGAGAAAGGTAAAAGCCCAGAGGCAAAAGACAGACGGGGTAATTTAAGAAAAGATGGCAAGAAACAAGGCAAGCTAAGGTCAGGCATTCATAATTAAGAATAAGCCTCTGAGTTCGAGGCCAGCCTGGTCTACAGAGCGAGATCCAGGAAAAGGCACAAAGCTACACAGAGAAACCCTGTCTCGAAAAACAAACAAACAAACAAAAAAAGAATGTTTGTTGCTGGGGCTGGAGAGATGATTCAGTGGTTAAGAGCACTGGCTGTTCTTCCAGGGGACCTTCTGGGTTTGATTCCCAGCAACCACATGGCTGCTCACACTGCCTGTAACTCCAGTTCCAGGAAATCTGGCACCTCAAAGACATGCAAGCAAAACACCAGTGCATGTAAAAATGAATAAATCTTTTAAAAAGGAAAAAAAAAAGAGTGCTTGTTCCTTAATTGTGAGAATTGGGAGTTCCAATCCTAGATCAAATGGCTCACAACTGCCTATAACTCAAGCTCCAAGAGATCCAACATCCTCTGGCTTCCATGGCACCTGCAGGCACATGTATGCAGACACATGTGCATACATTCACAGGCACACATAGAATAAAACTATAATTTTTTTAAAAAAAAAAATTAAAAATAGCTATAGCTACAATGGCCAGTTCCAGGCCAGCATGAATTACAGGAACCAATCTCAGCAACAAGCCAAAACAAATGGCCTGTCCGCACACAAAAATGATTGCTTTCGGCATTCCCAGAGCATGGCCCGCCCTTCGTGAAGTATTTGCACACAGTGGAAATCACACGTGGAAGTAGTGATAGCAGTTATGTGCAGATGGACACCTTACTATGCAGCGCAGGGAACACTGGTACAGGAGATCATGGGTCTCAGAGCTCCTTATGAGGTTTGCAGGGTGGAGGAGAAAGACATTAACCCAACCCTAACTAGAGTTAACTTAAACTGTGAACAGGAGACAATGTGTGGGAGAATACGAGACACTGTGTGCAGATCCTAGGAGGCATGCGCACAGCGGCTGAACCACGGAGAGTGCAGAGGAGGAAGTCTGGCTGGAGAGGGCCAGGACAGGGGCTTTGAACCGTCAGCCACATCCGTTTTGTGACCCATCCCCATTGGGCGGTACAGTGACAAATTCCAAGACGAAACTAATTTGGTTTCCAGAACTAAAGTAACTTGTTTTTCTAGATTCTTGCCTTCCCTGCCCTATGGTCCCCCAGTAATGGCTGCCATGAGAAATACTGATTGATTGCCTGACACCTGATTCATCTGTTCCTCCGGGCAATGGCCAACTGCAGGCCAAAAGAGGAAGCCTTCCAACCAACCCCCATCCCAACTTTTTCTACCCCATGACCACCCCCAGACAATGGGCTGGATTCTTAGAGACTGCATCTCTTGCAGGTTTATGTCATGAATAAAAGACTATTACTGCTGTTTTTATCCCTGAGTCTGTTTCCCTTCTCTCCCCTTACCAAAAAGTAATCCTTCCTTCCTTCCTTCCTTCCTTCCTTCCTTCCTTCCTTCCTTCCTTCCTTCCTTCCTTCCTTCCTTCTTCCTTCCTTCTTCCTATTTATTTATTTTTGTGGTACTGGGGGATCAAAGCTAGGGCCTTAAACATGTTAGACTGAGTTACAGCCTGTTCTGGTTACTTATCATTCATTCATTCATTCATTCATTCATTGTCAACTTGACACAGACCTAGGCATATCTGGGAAGAGGAAATCTCAACTGAGGAATTGCCTTTATCAGACTGGCCTGGAGGAAAGTCTGTGCAGCATTTTCTTGACTGATGCTGGATGTGGGAGGGCCAGCTCATTGTGAGTGATACTACTCCTGGGCAAGTGGTCCTGGGTTGAATAAGAAAGCAGGTGGAGCAAGCCAGTAAGCAGTGTTTCTTCATGGTTTCCACTCAAGTTCCTGATTCCAGGGTGATTCATTCCTGACTATACTCAGTGATAAAGGTAACCTGAGAGTTGTAAGATGGAACAGACGCTTCCCTGCCCAAGTTGCTGTGGTCATGGTGTCTTATCACAACAACAGAAACCCTAAGACACATCCCTATCCCCTTTTTCATTATTAGTGGTTTTTTTTTTTTTTTTTTTTTTTTTTTAATCTTGAGCTAGGGTTTCACTAGTTTGCCCAGGCTAGCCTTGAACTTGTGATCCTTCTGCTTCAAGCCTCCTAAGTAGCTGAGCTTATAGATCTGTGCCACCCAGTCCAACTTATTTAGTAACTTTAAACTAAGACATATATGCTCAGGTTTAATAAAGCTCAGAAATTAGAATGAGTGAGTACAATCAAGAATGAATTTGGGGGGCTGGAGAGATGGCTCAGAGGTTAAGAGCACTGACTGCTCTTCCAAAGGTCCTGAGTTCAATTCCCAGCAACCACATGGTGGCTCACAACCATCTATAATGAGATCCGGTGCCCTCTTCTGGTGCCTGCAGCCATACATGCTGTATACATAATAAATAAATAAATCTTTAAAAAAAAAAAAAAAAAAAAAGAATGAATTTGGGGAATGGAAAGACGGCTCAGCGGTTGAGAGCAGAGACTGCTCTTCCGGAGGACTGTAAATAAAACACTGATGGCCAGTGACCAGGCAGGAAGTATAGGCGGGACAAAGAGAGAGGAAAATTGGGGAAACAGGAAGAAGGAGGGAGAGACACTGCAGCCACCGCCAGGAGAAGAGCATGTAAAGACGCCGGTAAGCCACCAGCCACGTGGCAAGGTATAGATTTATAAAAATGGGTTAATTTAAGATAAAAGAA